CACATTTTACATTTCAGAGCAGCATTTTTATTCCCTCACGCCAAGATGCTGTAAAATACTAAAACTATGATCCACTTCTTTACATCTTTAATCAGCCTAAACACTAATTTAATCATTTATCCAAATTTCCTTATTTTAACTAAAACCTGAGATTTGAGGGGGCAAAAATCTAATCAAGCCTTGATGGAAATTTTCATTGTCTCAGGTATCTTTGTTACCTGAAGGCGTCAATAATCCCAGAATTCCTGCTTCAGGGCAGCAATGGCTGTCTTTAATTCCAACTAACACACCTGATATTTTAGGGATCATTTCAAAGTTCACTTTATGCTTCTACAAATGAACTAAAATCTGTTTCAGAGAAGCTGTGTCTCTACTGTAGGTATTAAACTCAACGTTTCCTCTGGTTTCAGACGCAAACGTAAGGTCAAACGGCGGTGAATACGCTCTGGATGAGCTTCACTGCTGTCCAAAAAATCTGAAATAAAGGTACCGAAATAAAACCTAGGTCCAAGTCAGGAAGCAGATCCAGGTTCAGTCCACAGGTAGAATCCAGTGGAAGTCTGGAGACAGGTCAGGCAAACAGATCAGAACAGGAGCAGCCAGGGTCAGAGGTCCAAAGGCAGAAAAGGTCAGGCAATCAGAACCCAATCAGGTGCGCTAGAGAACTTAATGCTGGAATAATCTGGCACTGATGACTGGGAGCAGGCTGGTTAAATAGAGACTGGAGCAGGTGACACAGGTGAACAGAGATGAGAAACTTGGCTGAGTTAGACAGGTGAATGGAATGAACCATCAAGCCAGTCATCAGCTCCATATCATGACAGGATTAGCTGCTCTGATTGGTTGGCGCTCTGCGTAAAACTGCAACAGGTACGATTTCTGAGCTCCAGCGTTGAATGCTGGGAAGCTGCGACGCACGGATGCAATGCACGGATGCGATGCACGGATGCAACGCAGGGCCTCTCTCAGCTGCTGGCTGCTGTCCACCATAGACCTATGGTAGGTAAATCAGATGATCTGATATCAAAACGCTTTTGATCTGAAACCATTAGTTTCTCATTCTATGTATTCTGCTTCTACATTCATCTTTAGTTTTCAGTTTTTCCATTTAAACCTGACAGCAGGTTTAAGGTAACTTTAGATTGTTAACATATTTATGCTATACTATGCAATGAGTTAGTTTTGGTCGCTGCTCTATTTGTGAACGTAGAGCTATAAACTAGACTGAGAACGTCTCTCATGTCCTTCAGGGAACCTTTAGGTCTGA